ATAAGCGGGTGGATAATTTCAGTCCTTACCTACGAAATGGCAAAATATAGAACCTTGTATGGAACGTTCCTAGTTGGCGATCCTACGTGCGATCAGGCGATCTCTGCCCATTGAGCGATCGCCAAATCGCCAAATCGCCAGATCGCATGTACGATCGCCAACTCTAAACGCTCAGTAGTATTTGCCCTTTTCTCTACTGACGTCTCAACACTAGGAAATGAGAAAAACTATATCTTTTACAAGTGACGAAAATATTACACATCAAAGCATTGACACTAACTAAACAATGAAATCTCCATTTTCAGGTGCTGGAGAATGTGGTAAATCGACAGTACTGAAGCAAATGCAGTAAGTTACTAATTCCTGTACCAAGTTATTTTGGGCCTATTTCAATAAGAGGGGCATTTCAGTGCAATAGGTCCCATTTACTATAGTCATCCCAATTTCGTGGCCTCAGGTGAGTGAAGCAGTTCACATGTGCAAAAAGGAAACTACATGGATGGGCGTTACTATTGTAGCCCTCTCTATGCTACAGACAACGAGCTTGTGGGGTATCAGAACTGTTGGGTACTCTGCACAAAATGCCCTCTTATTGGAACAAACCCTTTCAGAAAGATTCCTTTGATAGCATGACTGTCACAGTAGGTTCATACTCCGTCAGAGGCAGTTACCGTGGGAACTTGAAAGGCCGCGGGTACGAAGATTTTACTACAGTTCGAAAATGAAATCTGAGCAGCTGAGTGAGAGCGGGAGCAAAAAGAGGCCAGAAAAGGCTTATAACTCGCGACTTGAGGCCACAATTCTTTTTGCTGATTTTAAGGATGGACTCTCAAGTATGTCCAATTGACTTTTCATGAACTATGTCTTCACGTATAAAGTGTGATATGAAAAGCTCTCGTGCTTGATCAGAGAGAAGCGATTGTCGATGAACGTAAAGTTTGTTCCGTCGCCCATTCAAAGGGGCAAGAGTCAAGGTTAATTCGGTATGGTAATCGCACTCGAATACGAACGTAGGATGCGAGATGTTCCACAATTGGTACATCATTCGATCCGCTGGTGCAAACCAGCGATCCACTAGCGGTCCCTGGATTCGCGAAGTATGTCACAGGCCTAACGGGCAGATAGCGAAGAAAATCGAAAGAGCATCAGCTGAATGAACCGATACGACACAGGGGACATATCGATCAGTGGGAGAGTATGGTTCGGTCAGGGGTCGGTGGATTGAATTGTAGGCAATAGACGCCCTAGTGGCGTTGAAGTGCTGAGTTGTCGCAACCTCACCAGTTGCGGACCTAGCACTTCCACTCTCTGGAACCCCTCTCTCGCGTCGTCTCGTGTCTGAGTCTCTAGCCGTTTAGCAGAGAGAGAGCGTTAGCGTTGAAGAGGGCAGCATCGATGAGAGTCGCATCAATGCGCAAATCAGGGACGACGAATGGGTCCATTTCTTTGAGTTTCAGACCATTTTTCACGCTTTTTCCTCCTGGCCATCTCTAACTCAATTTCCGAAGGCCTATTTTTTCAACGTAAAATCCGCCCTCGGGAATTCAATTCTGTATCACTCCATAGCGGATGTCCTTCATTAATTGTTAACGATTGCAGAATTCTTCACAGCAATGGATTCACAGAAGAGGAAATTAATGAAAAGAAATCAATTGTGTACAATAATGTCGTCACGTCAATGTGCACAATTCTCAAGGTATGAAAGCTTTTTGCCTTACTCTTTCCCATTTGTGCCTATATTTATCCTGTTGATAATGCAGCTCATTTCAGGCAATGGATAATGTGCTTCACATTCCTTTAGAGGATGGCGAAAAAGAGGTTAGTTAACTACTAGCTTAGGGTAAGTCTAGGTCAGATGGCTTCTCATGGTGCAAAAGTCAGGTGCAAACAAAAGTGGGGGATTAAACTTAGTAGTACGAAAGTAGGCCGAGGTGGTGTAAAGGCAATTGACGCCTCTTACCACAAGGTAAGCACAGAGGATCAAATCCTACATCGCAGCCATCCTTTTGCTCGGATATGGTTGACTGGTTTTGGAGGGTGAAGCTGATTTGTACATCTACTGGCACCCAAGACACTGCATAAGCAGCTGGCATTCAATATACCGAGAAATTTGAGTGGAACTATAAGAGAACGTAGACTGTATGGCGCACACCAAAAAGGGAAAATGGACTCATGGCTAAACTTTATCCTTGGAACGGTTTTTCTCCCCTACGCTCTCGTTGCATAGGAAGAAGTGCGCTTCAGGCCTGCATATGCCGCTATGGTTCCCGCAAAAAAGGATATGTACCTGATAGCCTTGCCCCGTTCTCGTTCCGTATGGACCACCCTTTGAACGTCCATATAGCGCCATATCTCTCCGCCCCCCCCCCCCCCCCCCCTCCTCCGAGACAAAGGAGAACTGTATCGAAGTAATTAAGTATTGCCCACACTCGCAACAGAATATGCAGACTATGCTCCGTTGGCCATTCTTGGCGTTGGCAACGCTCAGACTGTGGGTTGGGATGAAGTATTGCCTCTGGGAATCAGTTGGGTTAGTACCCGCCAGGAGTACGGTACTTCTGCGTTGTCATCTTGACACCGCCACATATTACTTTGCGTGAAAACTATCACGATGCGTAAAATACTATTTTATACTTAAATTAACACTAATTAATACTACTATTTTCTCATTGCTGCCCAGGTCTCATGTGTGTATTCATTGTCCTTTTTTTTCGGGCGTAGCTGGTGCCGCGAAAAGAGACGCCGCGCACGGGGCTCCTGATCCGTGTCAAACCAGGGATCGAATCCCATCCGGCTCACCCAAGCCTTTCCTTCGCTGTAGACTAGTCAACTGACAGCAGGTACCCCTGTGAAGATGAAAACACTGATATATTCGTCGGCCTGTCCTGGCAACCCAATGTACTGTGCACTGTACTCCAGTGCCCCTACGATATTGGCTACGTAGAAAGCGTAGCGCTTTAAAAAACGATTAGTCAGCACTGGAAACTCTGCTTTCATCTTTTAACCTCTGTTTACTGTCTACGTCGCTTCCACCGAGCAGCTCATTATTTCTAGAAAGTGACCTTTCAAGGTGTTTGCTTTATAATCCTAGACGAGTGTCGTGCCAAATGACCAAGCTCAAACGGTAAAGCATGGCAAGTTGGTAAAATTCAATGTGGGTTTTGGGACCGGGATTGGGCTTACGACTTGCGACGCCACATGCCTTTACCCCACCTTCGTCAAAAGTGAACTAGAATAAAACTTGAACATTATTCTATACAGAATCGAAGCAACGTGGAATAGCCAGTTTATAACAGAGGTCTACCAATTATCCAAAGTTTTCAGAAAGAAAAGGTTGTCGTATTGCGGGTGCAAGAGAATGGCGAAGAATCGGAGCCGCTCACTGAAGAGGTGTCCAAAGCCATTCAGTCCCTTTGGTACGTATTTACTTCAATTGCTTACCTTTTTACTATTCACCCTATTTACCCTTTACTGTCCCACTCCCCAAGGACTGATTGGTCGAAATTTATGTATGACTCATAATTTGGCTGGAAAATTGTCTCCGGAAGGTATTTTAACCAGTGGTACACGACTATCACATTAATTTGGTGGAAAAACTCTCACGCTCCGAGCCACAAGCACCGGTACTATCACATCAGTTTTGCGTAGGCGCACGTAGCGCAGGCTACAGGCGCAGGTATCACTGGCAACAAACAATGTGATATCCATGTTCTACGGTTATAATTACCTCATACGACAATTTCACAGCAAATATGGTGATCAAAGGCTCTGGCGCATTTTGACACCGGCACCTTGGCACTGAACGTTTTCGCGCTAAACGAATGTGATATTCATGTTTTACGGATCGAATCACCCTCGTGGATTAGCCAAATCCACTGTTATGGGCAAATTTTGATATAAATCCGGCTCAGTTTTGAGGATTGCTGTCGGCAAAGACTGCCATTTTTTCCCAAATGCATATTGACTTTCTCAGCAGGGTGAATATCGCTTGAGGATTCCTCAACGGCACGTCGAGGATTCTCTGCCCGATCAGAGACGATCTCTCGCGCGGACATTCACACTCGCCATGCCGTGCCGTCTGTGCTCTCCGCGCGGATGTTCACTCTCGGCACTACTCTCGCATGGTAGAGAGCTATGGTCGAGGAAATTCCTCGACCGTTATTCACCCTGGTCTCTAGATATACAGTAGCAGTCAAAATTTTTCGCCGTGATTCTTTAAGCCTTGAGAATGAAATCACAAGAAAACATAGAATATCAATCTTCAGAGGGCGTTGCTCAAGCTTGCTTAAAGGAAGCAGTCACGATAATTTTCATGGGAACGATAAGGAAAGCTGTGTATTGGAGTGGATAGAGGTCCTGCCCAATGTTAGAACACGTGAAGTTTCAGTGGCAGTGGCGCCTTATCAACGGAGTGATAAGGCGCCGAAATCCACTTCCGTTCAGCAAAAACCAAGACTTATCGATGTGGAAAGGGGTGCGATAAGAGCGTGCTAGATATGATACCGTTATCGTTATCGTCCCGTTTTCATTCTGGAGTGCACCTCTTATCAAGCAGCCGCACCTTCTTATCTCATCGTATCATATCTTCCATGGGCTT